CAGGCCGATCCGATCCGATTCCATGGAATGTAGGCAAATAATAAACAGTGATTTCACAAGGCTCGCTCGGAGCGCGCGAATGCCGAATGCCTCCTGCTGCATTGAACAGAGGAAACGGCTGGCGGGCGGGCGGGCGGCAGATGGACGCCGGTCAGTCTCGGCCTAACCCCTTTGGGAGCTGGGCTGCAGCTGGCCAGAGGGGTCCTCCTTGGCCCCCCCTCTCGCCGGCTCACCAGCGCCGCCCCTTCCTCCCCCTCCTTTTCCCGACACCCTTCCCTATGGGACGCATTGCTGCACAATGTCCCGAGTGCACGGGCTCCATCCCTTATTATTATTATATTCGTGAAAAGAATGGGCGACAGAAAAGAGAAGAAGAGAGGGCGGCTGCGGTAGTGTGTGGCGCACCTTTAGGAAATTAAGGGTGATAACCGCCACCACCAGCTGACGCGCTGACTCTTGCCAACCCCATGGCTACATGCCATACCAGCGCTACTGTGTAGAAAAATGAAAATGAAAGGCGAAATTGATCATGTCGTAGACAGACACACACACGTGGGTGCTGCGGGTGCAGCTGCCCCACTGCCCTCCTAGAGGTCTTCCGGCCCGCGCCCCCTATGGCCCCCTAACTCGACCACCCGGCCCGCCCGCCCCCGGGCTACTCCTCCCCTCTGCATGCTCGTCCGCCTTCCTGGCAGCAGCAGCGCAAGCGCACCCCTTTACCTTCGTCGAAAAAAAAAGCGAGCCGGAAGACACTACTGACTCCCTGACCAGTAGAAGCGGAAGGGTTGGTCGGGCTATCCGGGCTGTCTTTCCCACGCCTGCACTGGAGCGATGGGGTAGCGAGGGGGAAAGGGAAGGTTCGAGTCCTCTCCAAAAACTACACATCGCAGCTCCTGCACGCTTGCCATACTGCCGGGGCGAAAGTTTCCAGAGACCTCTCCCGCAAAAATGTCCTGCTATTTCTGACTTTTACGCGGCGTGTTCAAACTGCACCCCGCACCCCCACCCCACCCCATCCCTGCGGGCCCGGTGCGCTCACGGGGCTTTGTGAGTCCGGCCCACACCGCATTGTTCTCTTTCGGACAAAGCCCGCCGCGCCGTGAGGGCATGGGGGAGGCGAGGTCTGAGGTGCGCGACCTCCCGGCTCCTCCCGGCTCCCAGCGCGGCGTGGCGGCGCGTAGTGCGGGATCCCTCCTCCCCCGGTGGGAGTGAGCGGGCGGGGGCGCGGCGAGGAAAGGCTTACCGCGTCCCGACAATCAAACTATCAAGCGTGAGAGATCGCTGTGCAATTTTCACAAATTTTTGTCGCCAAAAAATAAATAAAACGGTATCCAAATCCCTTAACGCGTTAAATGTCTTCCCTTTGGATCTTTGTCCCGCCCCCTATCTTGCTGTATCGAGATAGATCCCCACAGAGTGCCCGAAAGGCGGGGATCGTGTTAGCAGCCCCGGGTGCAGTACCGGTTTATGGCATACTCGTTAATATTAAAACGAAAACAACAGCCCAGCAGTAAGATCAACCGCCAAAATTTCAAAAGCAAATTAAAATATGCATATGCATGCAGAGGAGCGGAAAGAAAAATGCACATGGCGCTCACCATTGTTCAAATTATTATAATTAAGGGTGCGATAACTTCGCGTGATACCGGACTGGTTGAGGGGGGGGGACCAGTACGGGAAAACGATGGTTCGCAGTTTAAAATGGTGATTCCGCACGAATATTTACCTTTGGCGTGCAGCACCTTGAGGTGGTCCACGGTGAGCTGCAGGATCTCGGCCTTCTCCAGCTTGGCGGAGCCCTGCTTCTCGAAGGCGGAGGGCACGAGCCGCCGCAGCTCCGACAGGGAGGTGTTGATGCGGTCGCGGCGCCGCTTCTCGATCACCCCCCGCCGCTTCTTGCGCGACATCAGCTGGCAGCTGTCCGCCTCGTCGCCGTCCGCCGAGCAGCTGAAACAGGGAGCAGAGAGGGAGTTTACGCACGGCTCGAAACGACGACGTGACATCACAAACGATCGACTCTAGTGCTAGCCGGTCGTGGTCTTGTTCCGACTATATCTAATCCTTCCCCGTAATGTCGTAGGCGTATAAAATGGTCATTGGGCAAAATTTGGACAAATCCACCATAGTTTACTTTTACAACAGACTAGTGCAGAAACTTAATCCTGGAAAATTTTACAG